GAAGAAAGAATCAGTGAACTAGTTACTAGAAAATATCCAAACTGAAGCAGAGGGAGGAAAAAGAAAAAAAAAATTCTTTAAAGGAGCACTAGAGATGTGTGTGATAATATCAAACTGCCCTGGAATGAGGGATGAAAGAAAAGAGTCATGCAAAATAAATATTTTAAAAGATAAAGGTGGAGAATTTCCCAAAACTGATGGAAGACATCAAGAATCTCAGTCAATGCATACAAGCATACAGCTAGTCTGTATTTTACAGCCTTCCATAACTGACCTGGTCAATGAATGTGGGCAGAAGTGATGTGTGCCATCTCCAGATCTGGCTCCTGTCCAGTCTAGGCTGAGGTATGCCATAACAACAAACTCAAAATCTCAGAGCCTTTATGTCTCATGTACAGTTTGTTGCAGTTCCAGACAACTCCCCAGGAAATCTGTCCCCTACATATTGGCTTGGCATTCCAGAATACTTAAGTCTTATGGAACCTCCAAATTGACAATTGCTATGATGGGGGAGGGCACTGGTTTTTAATACATCCACCAGAAAATGACCCCTGTCACTTTTCCTTGGTTAAGGCAAGTCACATGGATACCTAACTTCTAAGGGGCCAGGAAATGCAATCCTTCTACATGCCTGGAAGGAAAGGAAAGTGAAAAATATTGGTGCATGGACGTTCTATCTACCACATTTCTCAACGCACATCCTGCGTGAACTGCCACATTTGAAGGCTTTGGATGCAGCTAAGTTGTTCCCTATCATTGACCTGCATTAGTCTGTAGAGTGAACAAGAAATACAGTAGGCCCTCAGTATCCTGGGAGATTGTTTCCAGGACCCCCCATGGACCCCAGACTCCAAGGATACTCAAGTTCCTAATAGAAAATGGCATCGTATTTGTATATAACTTACACATAATCTCCCATATACTTTAAATCATTTCTAGATTACTTAAAACACCTAATATGATATAAATGCTATGTAAATAGTTGTTATACTGTATTTTATGGTTGCTTTCCCTTTTTAAAATATTTTCCATCTGCAACGGTTGGATCCATGGATGGGGAACCCACAGATACAAAGAAATGGCTGTAGATCCTTAAGCCTCTGAAATGTGGGCATTATTATAGAAGCTGGCATACACTGAGTAATACCCTACTCATTTTACATCAGAGTTAAAGTTAATGAGATAATAATAATATTAGTTTTTTTAAATCAAGCACAAATTATAGGCCAGGTACTGTGCTAAGCAGTTCATATGTGAGATACTTTGCACAGCACCTGGCCCATAATAAGCTCTTAATTGATGTTGTTATTGTTACTCTAATTTTATCTTCGATGTATGTATCTGCTGAGAAGGAGTCTGTGCTCTAGACTGCAGGGCCCTTGTGGATATGTAAGTGACTGAGTGTCTTGTTCATTTTCTTCTCAAAAACATCTACAAGTTTCATACTTTATGGGCAGCTGAACTGGAAGTGCAGGTTTCCAGGATCAGAGACAGCATGGTAAAGAGAAAAAAGCACTCGACTAAGATCAATTTAGTTCAACACACATTTATTGAGCACCTTCTGTATGTACCAGGTGCTAGGGACACAAAGGAGTGTGAGGCTGGATCCCTGCTCTAGAAGCTTACACTTTCTACATGGATGATGAACAAGGAAATAAATTTCCACAGCATGCCATGTGTGATAGTGAGAGTATAAACCGGCTTAGGATGGCCACAAGACCTGAATTCTAGCTCTGCCACTAGCTGTGTGACCTACAATGTGTTACTTAACTGCTCTGGGCCTCATGGATAGTGAGAATGGGGTAGATCTTTTCTATCCCCTGAAATACTAACATCTACAATTCTCAAAACCCCGTGACGTCAGTGAGGCAGTTGTTATTCCTACTGTGTGGATAGAGGTAAAATCAGAGAGGTTTCACACAGTGGGCTCGCCTACACACCTGCTTGTTGGTAGAACCAGACCCAGACTCAGGCAGACATTGGGAAGTAAACTTGATGTATGTCCACTCCAGGCTGCCTTGGCAGAGAGGCAGGCTCTCTGATGGGCATGGCAGGGGGTTTTCTTGATGCCCCTAGTTTGAATCCCACAATTATGGTCTAGCCACAGACCTAGTCTGGGAAAGGGGAAGTTGCCCCTCCAGCCCCTCCCGCTGTAAACACTCAGCAGATAGCGGAAATTTCTGAAAACCAGGTCACTTCTCACAGAGCAACACCGTGATATACCACCAGGATCATCCCCGTGATCACAGGACTTTTTAGGAGCCGACCAAGTCACTGATGACAACACCCCTGGGCCTGCCTTCTTCTTCCAACTGTCTCCTCAGCTTTGCTTGTCAATCAAAGGATATTATAGAGGCCGAAGCAGCTTTCACTCATTACCCCTGGACTCCTGGGGCCACCCCACCCTCACCCACCAGGTATGCACATACTTAGGGAAGGTATGTGAGCTCCTTTGATGGAAACCAAACAGAAGAGTTCATGTTGGCTGGGCCTCTGAAATCATGCCACACCCACCAAAGCCAAAGGCAAGTTTTTGGACAATGGTCAGTCACCGCTACCTCCCACCATGGCAAAGAATTAAGAGGTGACGCTGGTGGGCAGTCTTATTAACGTATTACCACAGTTTCTGAGCATCTGCTATGTATACTGCAAAGAGACCAGCAACACACAATCTCTGTGATCCAGGAGCTTCTAATCAGATGACAGGAATGGTCAGACGACATGAGAGATGAATCAACTTAGGGCACCCAGACTCAGGACCGTGTGAGAGGCTGTCGTAAGTGGCAAAGGCACTGGGGAAGGGATCACTGGGGATTGTTCCTGTGCAAAAAGGCATCCTGGGGGGCTGGAACTGGGCCTTGAAGAAACAGAAAGACAGAAGGCACCCTTCACATCATGCACTCTCAACAGGTAATTCCCATGAAACTCATAGGAAGACAAAGGCATCCAAAAAAGAATTGCCTTTCCCAGGGCAGCCCCTTCTTGATCATTAGCACACACAGACACTGCCCATCCCACCCTCCCCAGAGTTGGCCAGTTAAGCAGGGGACACACCTGCTTCACCAGTAGTTTCTCAAGGGCCCTGTGGGGACAGGCCTGGGTTCCATTTTTGGCTCCTCTGCGTCCCAGCTGTGTACTGTGAGCAAGTCCCTTAACCTCTCTGAGCCTGCTTCCCCAACTTCAAGAATGGGCTGATTATTTGGCAGGATTGGGAGGAAGAGTCACTAAGAAAACACTAGTTCATCCACCAGAACAGCACCGAACACTGCCACCCCAGTGGCAGGCTCCTCAGAAAGTACCCCTGTGCATCCTCCATCACAAAGTACATCTGAGGGAGATCTGGTATGCACCCTCCAGCCTCTACAGATGCCCCACATGCTCTGGTGATTACACTGAGGAGCCGGCTGGAGCACCAGCCCCAGCTCTGAGTCAAGTGTACTCTTAAGTCCAGTGGAGTCACTCAGAAAGGAAAAACCTGCCAAAAGGATGAGGAGTGAGGCTTGGGAGGCCCATGGGCCGTCCTTGCCCAAGGAGACACTCTGGAGGTCCGAAACAAATGTCCGCCCTTGGGTGCTGCCACCTCTGGTCGTCGAGAGCACAGCATGGCCAAGGCCAAGCTAAGGAGCCTGGCTCAGCCCACCAGGGGAATCAAAGCCGCCTGGCTGGTTTATAACCTTTGGAAGGGATTTTCAATGTTTCTGAAGTTGGGGGTGCCAGTGTTTTGTTCTTATCTTGTGTTTCCTTCCTCAGTAGGAAGCAGCTAGAAAAAATCTTAAGACATTGGTAACCCTGGGTAGGACGCATGCTTTGCCAAGCTGATTTAGAATTGTCGCATGGTCCTGGGACAAACTCAAGCTTAGGAAAGGCTTCGAGAATGCTAATAAGAAATAAAACCCGAATGGCATGGGTCACTGTTCCCTGTTCTCTCACGTGGCTTCCTTGAACCCACAGGACAGGAGGGAAGCAGGGCTCTGCAGCCAAGCCAGGCTCTAGGGACGCCAAGGTAGTTGACTCCTTGTGTGCGGCAGCATGACCTGCCTCGGGGTGTTTGTGCAAGAATTAAGGGAGGTGCCATGTGTGAAGCAACTCACTGAGGCCTTTGAACCTCACTGACTTTGAAGGGAGAATTCCAGTAACAACCATAGGCCTGTGTGTGCCTGAGAACGGGGGAGAGACCCGCACCAGCCACTTCCTCAACCCTTAGACCCTCACAGCTGCCCCCACAGGCCCACCACCACCCTCCCAGCTCTCTTAACGACTTCATTGCACACCCCCATGCCGGCCACCCCATGAAGGCAAAATATTAAACCCTAAATTCCCTCCATTTTACAACATATCTGGAAACCACACAGAACAATTCACAAAACCAAGTTGGCAGTTTTGTCTGAAGACTGTAAAACCAGTAAAAGGAGTGAGCAGAGCACAGGGGGACCTGGTTTCTCTCTGAGCTAATTTCTGAAAATGGGCCAGGACCCAAATGCACACACTAGGCTGCCCAGAGCATGCCAGTCACCCCCTACCCACCCCACTTCTTCCTCTGGCAGACCAAGGGGGCTGGGAAGAAGCCCTAAGACCCTTCCTAACTCTGGTACAGCCCAATGTGAACCCCACCGAACCTTCCCGTCCCTTCATGTCGCCTTCCCCCAAGGTAGAATCAACCATTCCGTTGGCGGTGTCCCAGAATGTTCTAGTGCTTTCTGAGCTGTGTCCTCTGCTCCTTGTGTGCTCCTTGGGGGTTATGTCCATGAGCCCCCACCCATGCCTCGTAGTGTTTGGTGCACAGGGGGGTGTGCATTAACATTTGTCGCCTCACATTGGCTAGTACGACTCATTGGCCCAGCAAAATCAAATCACGCCCCAGGGCCCTAAGATGCGGATACCTCAGCACCCCTGCATGCCATCTGCTGCACTTCGTGGCAACCCCACAGACCAGCACCCCAAGACATCCCCCTCTCCATCCCTCCCCCTGAGCTGTGACCCTGGAACAAATGGCAGCAGACTTCTTGGGACACCAGTCATCTCTTTATTCCATTAGTGACCACCACAACAGCACCAGACACAGCAGCGGCCCTGCCTCAGAGCCTCGGGCACAGCCTAGGGTCCCAGGTGGGCCTGGTCCAGGTGAGGGGAAGCCTGCCCTGCCTGCCTCTCTGAACAACCAGGAGAGAAACCTTCGGGGAAGGCGGGCTGCTGTGGGAGCCATCATACAACATGTGTCAGCCCCTCCTTCCCAAAAGCACCAGGCTGCAGCGAGGAAGGACATCCAGGGGGCCAGGGAGGTCCTTGTGGGGCAGCTCACAGGGGACCCTGAGCTGGAGAGGGGACCGTGTATGTGTGTGCATGTGCGTGCATGTGCTGTGCGTGTGTGTGTATGGGGGACATATGCCTACACTACTTAGCATATGAGATTTAACTGCTGAGCCACACAACCTGCCTGGGGACCAAGGAGACCAGGAACCAGGGACTCAGAGCGCCGGGGCCAGAGTGGAGGCCCACCTCCCCACTGCTTCGCCTTGGAGAGGGCAGGTGGCTCCGCTGGAGACAGGTCTCGAGGGGACACCTCCTGCTGCCTGGGTACAGGGGCTGCCTCAGACTGGCCCACCTCACGTGTAGGCCATCTTGCTGCACACCCAGGGCCGGGTCATCAGACACTCCGTCGACACCAGCCTGGTGGGCTCCACGAAGACACACTCCCCCGGGCCTGAGATGGTGAACCTGGGGCCAGGAGAGAAGAGACACGGCGCTTGTGGCCTGGGACACAGACCGTCATGGGGCAGCCCTGTGGCCTGGCCCTCCCTCGCCTCATCTGTGGAGCTACCCGTTAGGACATTCAGCCCTGACAGACTTCCTAGTTTGGCGTCCCATTGTCTCCTGACTCTATGACCCATGGTGCAGCCACACCAGGGACTCCCACAGACATTTCCTGGACACACCCTGTACTCCCCCCTCCTGCTCCCACATCCTGCCAGGCTCCCCAGCAACTAGTTCAGGACCACCTTCGGCTCACCCTCCCTCCTCACAGCACTCTGCCTGCACCATGAGGTGCCACTCCCACAGTTTCTGGGGCCTGTGTCTATCTGTCCCCATTGGCCCCTGAGGAGGCCAGCTCCTGAGCAACAGGCTCTGTGCCCTCCCCCAGTGGGGCTTAGGAGTTAGGTACCCTCACAGGGTAGGGGCAGGCTGGAACAGCTCCAGGACTGGACAACCACAGCTGTGATGCCAGGAAGTCATTGCAGTCACGCATGCCCCTGTAGGGGAGGGGGCATTCCCCTGCATAAAGTCACCATTTAGAGTCTCAGCAGCTTCCCCTTAACCTGACTAGTTCACACTGACCTCAGATCCCAGCCGAGGCAAGGCGAGGCTTGGTTCTCACAAGATGGGGTGTCAGAAGGACCCAGAGAAAGAATGTGGGAGGAGGACCTCTGCCATGTCAGAGAAGCATGGCCAAGGCCCCTTGGCTGCCAGGTGGCCAGCACTCAGGACCCCCAGCCTCCAGGGCTCAGAGAGCAGGAAGCTTCCAGACAGAGTGGGGGGTGGGGAGTGAGGGGGGTGGCATGAATGGAAAGTGCTAGGCCTCCTTGGCAGCTCCAAGAGCAGGGCTGGGCTGGGGACAGGAAAGAGAGGCGCTGGGGACAAAGTAAGGGGTATAAATGAAGAGTGCTTGAGACTAAGGAAAAGGAGGGAAAGGGGGAGAAAGGGGAGAAGAGGGAGCTCTGTCACCCCTCACCCTCCATAGCTGCCATTAGCCAGTCTTGGGTGGGAGGGTGGCTGGTGGCCAGCTCCGGGGTCTCAGCTGCCCTTTCACTTTAGCTCCCACCTGGGGGACACCCACATGTAATTATTATGCCAGCAGCTATTCCCCCAGTCCCTGCTAGTACCTCCGAGTCTATCTCCCAGCCGTAGGGTCTGTTCTAGAAGCTGAGGCTCCTGTCCCGCACGCCCTTTCCTGCCTTTCCCTGAGTCTAGACGGTTCCCTCCCCCCAATACGCTTCCACCCCCACTCATGGTCATAGCCACACACCTGCCCCCGTGCCTCCCATGCCACCGCCACCACGTTCCCCCACCACACACCCGACCGCATCACACACTCACGTCCACACCACTCGGGCCGCACAATCATACCGAGGCCACATACACCCACCCCCACACCTCCCAGCGCCCTCTCCAGCAAGAGATGCCTTCTCTAAGAAACAAAGCTGAGATCATTTGTGGGGCCCTCAGATTCCCTTTCTTCCACAGTGAAAATTCTCAGGGGGCACACGGCTGCCTGGAACAGGGGCGCCATCTCCCATGCTCCCTTGCAGCCAGGTGTGGCTAGGTGACTAGGTTCTGATCAATGGTATGAGGCCGCCAGGACATGCCCTCCCCTTCCTGCCCCTTCTGGCTGAGCGGGATGTGAATGTGCAAAACGGGTGTGCAGGGCAGTGCCAGTGCACGGATGGGGCAGGTACAGGTGAAAAGGGCCTGATCCCCAACACCACAGAGCTCTGATGGCTGCAAGGAGCAGAGAGAGCCATAACCAGGCTTTTATGGGAGAGAGAGAAGTAAAGCCATTTTCATGAGTGGTCTCTGGTACACACCACTGGGTCTGGAGACTGGCATCTCTTTTTTTTTTTTTAACTTTGAGCCAGGATCTCACTGTATCACCCAGGTTGGAGTGCATTATGATCACAGCTCACTGCAGTCTCAAACTCCTATGCTCAAGGTATCCTCCTGCCTCAGCCTCCCAAGAAGCTGGGAACCACAGGCACCCACCATCATGCTCAGCTAATTTTTTATTTTGCAGGGACAGGGTCTTGCCGTGTAGCCTTGGCTGGTCTTAAACTTCTGAGCTCAAGTGATCCTCCCTGCCTCAGTCTTCCAACATGCTGGGGTTACAGGTGTGAGTCCCTGTGCCCAGCCAAAGAGACTAGAATCTCTAGCTAGCACAAATCCAAGTGTTTCTCTTTCCAGGATTGTGTTGGGGGGTTAGGCCTTCCTCAATCTAAGCTCAGTGGCCCGGAGGTGAAGCCTCAGCTCACGTGTCTGGGTCAAACGGGTCCCCGTTGACCCAGTGGAATTCGTCCCCAACTCTGCGTAGTCCAATCCAGGGCTCCCTCCGCGTGAACTTGAACATAAATTCCTGCAGCGAGGAAAAAGGAAACCTCAGAGTCAGACACGTCTCCCAACAGCTCTCACGTCCCAAGACAGCTCTCATCTAGGAGGACACTGGCTCTCAGAACAGATAGACGCAGGGGTGACTGATGTCTCACCACATCCCCAAGGAGGGAGGCTAGGGACACAGGCTGCCTGTAGCCACATTGTCAGAAAGCGCAGGGGCCAGGAAGACTGCACAGGGCCTGCCTGTCCTCCCAGCCCAGCAACCCCACGGGCCAGCATTCCTGGGTTAAAGGAAGCATGGGCATAGATCACAGGGCCATCTATCTGGGAACAAATCATAACACTCAGGTTGGCTGTTCTTCCTGCATACTGGGGGGCTTTCTCTGAGGAAGGAGGCTATCATTTGTGTATCAAAGACAAACAGAAATTTTTTTTAGATGATCTGCCCTTTGGGGTTGTCACACCACTGTTAACCTCAAAATTAAAAAATGACCAGTAGGCTCATGGGGTTTCTTCACATGTCTATGGATAAAACTGTTTTGCATGTTAAGTGGGAGATCATGTCTGGTTTTGGATCAATAGAAAATGACAATATGTTTTTACACTTCACAGTGCAGTTATAACTTGTGATTCTTTTTTTTTTTAAGAGACAGGGCCTTGCTCATAGACTCAAGCAATCCTCCTGCTTCTGCCTCATGAGTAGCTGGGATTATAGCCACGTGCCAGCACACCCAGCTTTCTAATTTGTACTTCTTTTTTTTTTTTT